TTCCTCCTTCCTTCCCTCTCTTCCTTCCTTTCTTCCTCCCTTTTCTGTCTTTCTTTTGGTGGTGGTAGAGATAGGGCCTTGGGAACACTAGGCAAATACTCTTTGCCACTGAACTACAGTCTTAGTAGGAGGTTTTTCTGTGTAGTTTCAACATGGGACTGGCCGTAACTTTGCCTGTCATTTCACTGACAAACATACTGCTTATTTCCTTCTCAGTATCTTTCATAGTCTTATATGTTAACTATCTGTCTCTTCCCACTGCAGCTATCATGGACACTTCAGGAGCACAGATGTGTCCATTCTACATACTGCTGTAGTGCCAGAGCTACCTTAGCAAATGGCAGCACAAAGTAGCATTCAGTAAATATTAAATGAATGAATGGATCAAAACCTCAAAGACATATTTCTGAGATTGTATGTGATAACACACACTTATAATTCTAGCACTTGGGAAATAGAGGTAGGAGGATCAGAAGTTTAAGATTATATCCCAAACTACATATCAAGTTTGAGGCCAGCCAGCCTGAACTACATAAGACCCTATCTCTTTTTAAAAGTTTTTTTAATTTTTAATTTTTATTTTATGTGTATGAATGTTTTGCCTGCATGTGTGTGAAATGTTTTGCCTTCATGTATGTGTGGTGCCCATAGAGGCCAGAAGAGGGCATTGGATTCCCTGGAACTGGAGTTATGGATAGTTGTTAGCTACCAAGTGGGTATTGGGAACTGAGCCCAGGTCCTTTTTTCTAATTTTTTTATGTGTATGAGTGTATTACCTGCACAAATATAAGTGCACCCATGTTGTGCAATGCCTTGGAGGCCAGAAGAGGGTGTTGGATACCCTGGAACTAGAGTTAGGATGGTTGTTAGCCACCATGTGGGTGCTGGGAACCAAACCCAGGTCCTCTGCAAGAGTAGCCAGTGCTCTTAACCTCTAAGTTATCTCTCCAGCCCCAAGACCCTGTTGTTGTTTTTTTTTTTTTTAAAAAAAAAAAAAAGTATTCTGGAGAATTTTCTGATGAGTCCTTCCCATTATATAGTCTAAAACATTTTCCTTGGATCAGATAGCAAGAGGGCTATGCAACTAATACAGTGTCTTGCTATCTTGTTGAATTGTCTTTCCTTACAATGCTTTGAGTCATGCTGCAAGCTGATCTTTACCAGTAACCCTAACTATAGCCATGAAGGGCTACCTTGTATTTTTTTTTCTTTTTGAGACAGGGTCTCCCTGTAGCCCCAGCTGTCCTGGATTCACTGTGGAGAACAGGCTGGCCTCGAACTCACAGAGATCCACCTGCCTCTGCCTCCCAAGTGCTGGAATTAGAGGCATGTGCTACCACATCCGGTCCTTTTTAAAAATATTTTACTTATTATTTTTATTTTATGTATATGCGCATATTGCCTGAATGTAGGTAAGTGCACCCATGTTGTGCAATGCCCATGGAGGACAGAAGAGGCTGTCAGATCCCCTGGAACTGGAGTTATGGACAGTCATTAGCTGCCATGGGGGTGCTTGGATTTGAACCCGGGTTTTCTGCAAGAACAGTCAGTGTTCTTAACCACTGAGCCATCTCTCTAGCCCTGCTACCTTGTATTTAAAACAGGGATATCAAGATCATTTTTCAACTACAGAATCCTCTTCATATAGAAGCCCCATTGGAAATTTTTCTCTTAGGATACAGTTATTTTGTTGTTTAGTTTTTGTTACTGTTTTTTTATTTGGGAGGTTATATTTTTCCATTCTGGGTATCAAACTCAAAGTTTCACATATGCTATGAAGGGTTTTACCACTCGGCTCTAGGACAGAGGTGTTTTAAATATTTTTTATATACCTATTTTTGTTTTATGTGTATGAGTGTTATACCTGCATGTATATACGTGTACCCATGTTGTGCTAAGCCCATGGAGGTCAGAAGAGGGCACTGGATTTCCCTGGAACTGGAGTTATGGACAGTTGTTAGCTGCCATGTGGGTGCTGGGAATCAAACCTGGATCCTCTGCAAGAGCAGTCATTATTCTTAACCGCTGAGCCATCTCTCCAGCCCTGACAGAGGTGTTTTTCTTTCTTTTCTGAATACTGAGTCATAATTGAAAATGTTTCCTTCTCTGCTTTGACTTACTGTGGGATACTACATGCGATTCGTTTTCATGAGCTGTTTTTAATCCCCTGACATTAACTTCATTATTATTATTATTATTATTATTATTATTATTATTATTATTATTGGTCTTTTTGGTTTCTGTAGCCCCAGCTGTCCTGGAACTCACTATGTAGACCAGGCTGGCCTTGAACTCACAGAGATCCACCTACCTCTGCCTCCTGAGTGCTGGAATTAAAGATGTGCACCACCATGCTCAGCTGTTATTATTAATTTTATTTGTATTTTATGTGTGACTGTTTTGCTTGCATGTATATTAGGCACTATATGCATGCAATACTTGCAGAGGCTAGAAGAGTGCACTGGTTCCCCTAGACCGGAGTTACAAATAGTTGTTAGCTGCCATTTGGGTTCTGGGAACCAAACCCAGGTCCTCTGCAAAAGCACCAAGTGCTCTTAACCACTGAGCCATCTCTCCAGCCCCCATTATTATTATAATAATTATTATATTTTATGTCTATATCTGACTGTCTTTTAATTTTATTTTTGGAGAATTTCATACATGAGTACTATACTTACATCATTTCCACCCTAACCTTTCCCCCCTCTAACTCTTCCCATGGACCCCAAACTCCCTCTCAATCCTCTTCTTAATTATTATTGTTACACACACACACACATCCTACTGAGTCCATTTAGTGGTACTTGTATGTTTAGGGCTGACCACTTAGAGTTAGATAACGTACTCTTTCCTACTTTAACTCTTTGCCTTGAGTACCTCAATTATTTATTTTATAGTAAGAGTTTCTACTTTTGAACAATTCTCTAAATATCCAATTCTGTTGCTCTCGATACTATGGTCCACAAGACATTGAATATAAACACAATTAAGCTAAGTTCTTTGACACTTGATGATAGGGATTACCTTTCTTCTACTTTCTGATAATGTATTCCTCATTGCTCTGAGATCTCATCAGAATGGCTTCAGCATTTGTGTATCCACATTCTGTCCATGATTCTGTATATTCTCTATGAAGATAGAAGAATTCTTTCTAAATTCTTCTTTGCTTTCTGAGCCAGAAGTTCCAGAATTATCTTTAAAGCTCCATTCATGGCAACATTGTATCATGTACTTCTATCACATACTTCAAAACTCTAGCCGCCTCTACCCACTACCCAATTCCAAACCTCTTCCACACTTTCAGGTGTTGTAGCAATACTGCCCTTGTTGGTACCTACTTCTATCTTAATCATCTGAGGATGCTATAACAAATCACCATAAACAAGGTAGCTTTAAAAAAAAACAAATATTTATTTCTTATGGTCCTAGAGAAGTCCAAAGTGGCAACAGTTTGAGTGTCTGGTGAGAAATCTTTTCCATGTTTGTAGACACCCCCTTCTCATTGTGTCCTTGAATAGCCATGGCTAATTGCAAGCTCTGTGTCTCTTATAAGGACACAAACCCCAGGCATGAGGGCTCTACCCTATTACTGCACATCTTCCAGAGGTCCACTACCTAATACCATTAACTTGAGGCCAGATTTCAGCATGTAAATATGGGGATGCAAACATTCAGTCCATAACATGTGCCAGGCTGTTCATATGCTCTTGCAGTAAGCTGATACATTCTCTCTATTTTACAGATGGAGATACTGAATTAGCAAATCTACACCCATGTTCAAGGTCACATAGCTAGCAAGTAGAGAGATGGGAAGCAAACTCTGCTCTGGCTTCCAGGTCTATATGTCATCTGCTGTTCAGAGGATTGAAAATAGTGGTCTGCAGATGCCCCAGAATTGTTAGAGTACTTGTTAGGACTGGATCTACAAGCACTATTCCCAACCTGCTAGACAAAAACTCTGTGTGTTGTAGGATGGGCCAGTGGTCTACATTCTAACAAGTGTTCCAAGTGCCACTCCTGCATCCAAAAATTAAAGAATCTCTCTACTAGTGGGAACTCTGTTGAGACCTGCAAGTACCTTTTCTAGTAATTTTTCCATACCTAAACATATGTTGTTATCTGCAACACTTCAAGTCTGTGATGTAATGATGTTGTTTGTATATAGGTATACATGTACATCTATCACTACTCATTTTGCTATAGTCTCATTGGTTAATTTCCTCAAAGATATAGTTTCCAAAAATATCTAGTATTTTTAGCCCAGTAAAGGATTTTAAGGGAACATGTTTGCTAGACCTAGCTATCTTGCAGAAGGGCTAACCATGTTCTGTGTAATTCTAGTGGGTAGAGCCACACCAGAAATGGATGCTGCAGAATAGGTTCTGTTCACACTTGACCCAAAACTTCATAAGATATGTGTTCAACTAGTGGCCCAGGGGATGCTGCCCTCAAGTTATTCCAAGAGAGAAAGAGCAAGAAAGCTTGTTTGTGCTGTGGTGAATGTTCAAGGATGCCTAACAGGAAGGCAACCAAACCTTCCAAGGAGTAGGACCCTTACTGGAAGCACAGAGGCATCAAATACAAATGGACATATGTCTCAGGTCACTGAGCATGAGGAAATATATGATTCTAGGACCTACAGGTACAGGTTTAGGAATGGTCAACTTATCTGAGCGTGTGAGTTTGGGTAAAAATTATAATTCCTGCTGGGCGTGGTGGCGCACGCCTGTAGTCCCAGCACTTGGGAGGCAGAGGCAGGTGGATCTCTGTGAGTTCAAGGCCAGCTGGAGCTACAGGGAGACCCTGTTTCAAAAAGACCAAAAAAATTATGATTCCTTAGGGATCACCCTGTAACCATTAGTTATGCATTACATAAGGTCCTACACAGGTAAGGGCTTATGGTTTGCTCTAATTTTCCTCCGTATTAGACCCATTTCCAGCTTTTCATTGTCATAGAGGTTTTATAACCCCCACTATCTTTCTCTCCTTGGAATAATCAGTGCCCCCCCAGAGTCCAGCCCCACATGCTGAGACAGGTGGTGTCCTAGAGCTTCAGCACCTGTCACCTGACTGGACCTGTCTGGTTGTTGCAGTACAGGCAACCTGGATGGCCTACGATATGGTGGTCATGCGTACCAACCCCACACTGGCAGAGTCCATGCACCGGCTGGAGGATGCCTTCCTCAACTGCAAGGAGGAGATGGAGAAGAACTGGCAGGAGCTACTCACAGAAACCAAGCACAAACAGTAAGCCACCATCTCTCACCAGCCTGTATGCAGAAGCCAGGGGAATGGAACCAGTAGCCCAGATGTGTAGCTGTATGCACAGAACTTGTTTCACAATAAACTTATTTTCAAGCAAACTCAAGGACTCATTTCTGTCCCACACTATGATCGACCCAATTGCATATCAAATTGGATGAGCAAAGCATGGTGAGTATGAGATGAATATGCTTTCAGTGGGTCAAATACATGCTGGTGCCAGTTGTGCTGAGCCTAGGGAAAAAAAGCAAAAAATGGTCTAGTTGGGACAAACCAGGTTACAGACCAGAAAAATAAGCACTATTCAGATTTATCTACCTGCCTAAAATGGGTTTCACAGTGGATAAAAGGAGAAAGCATGTCATTTCCCATGTTGTTTGTTCTAGGCACCATGGCAGATGGCCATTGGTGATCCTGTCCTCATGAATCTCCTGAATGGCAGGTGTTCAAACAAGGGTTAAATATCTTTTCCCAGTCCACACAATTAATAAAGGGTATAACTAGATTAAAACTCAAGGCTCAGTTAAAGGGGAGCTGGTAGGAAGTGATATTGGAGTCTGGAGGGCATGAGGCCCTACAAGATGCCAAGTGGTCCCGGCCCAATCTGGACTGAGATTGTGAGCAGCATGTTGACATTCTCTCTCAGTTTTACAGGCAAGGAGTTCAAATGCCAGTCAGACCCAGGAGGAAGAGAGTCAAGCCTGGCTCCCAAAAGGCCACAGGATGGCAAAAGTCCCAGAGAAAGGGTATTTCCTCTTCCATCATGACAAAACATAAGAAGCTAAAATGGGTTTCCAGCCAGCACCAAAGAATCACAGAGAGGTAGTTGTGATGGAACTATGGAGCTAAGCATCCTAAGCAGGTCAGACCTAGGATCAAAAACAACAGGGGGTGGGGAAGGCCAAGAAGGAATGAAGAAGCTAGGGTTTCAAGGTGAGGGAGGCAGGTGGAATCTCATTCAATAGATAAATAAAACCCTTTACTTAGAAGACAAAGCAGAGAGGGAAAGGCTTTTGGATACAGGAACAGAAAGTTCTGGCCCTAGGCTCTTCCCTATGCCCCAGGTCACTCAGACAGCCGGCCAAAGGTTTCCCAGAAGAGCAGCCCTACAGCCCTGATTCTTTTCCAACACTCAGAGTGTGGTCTGTAGCTGGGTCTTGGGAGGCAGAGTCAGAGTAAATGGACAGAGTACCCCCTTACTCCCCAGGGGAAAGGGCTGCAGCTCCTTGGCCTGGAACTGGGCAGTTCCCTCAGAGACTGTGAAGGTAGCTGTGACCTGGTGGTTGAGACAGTAAATGGTGTTTCCCAGCACCGTGCAGTGGAGGGGAGCAGGGTTAGGAAGTGGTAGGGAAGCAGCATGGCTCCAGGAGCCTGTCACAGTGTTGTAGCGCATCACTGCAGCACCTACACCCCGCAACAGATCAAAACGGTACAGGAAGCCTCCTAGTGCCACCATGTCACTGGAGCGCCGGTGGCTGGCACTATAGGGACACTCATCCCATGAGTCTTTCTTAGGGCTATATCTGAGTAGGCGGTAAAAGAGGTGACCTCCTGTGACATAGATATCCCCACGGCAGGCCACAGCCTCATGGGCCACGGGGAAGGTGCCTTCAGGGAGGGACGCTCGCAAGGTCCAGCTGTCTGTGCGTGGGTCATAGCGTTCCATGCTGTAGAGACACTCACCACCAATGGCATAAAGCTGTCCATCCAGGGCCACCAGCTTGAGCTGGGCCCGGGCCTGCTGCATGGGCCGAATCTGGCTCCAAATGTTAGTCAGAGGGTTGTAGCAGAACACCTTATTGGAACAGACAGCCTTGGTACCAGAGCCCCGGATGCCACCTGCCAGAAACAGGTAATTATACATGGTGCAGAGACCACAGCCCCGAAGTGGTATCTCCTCTGGTATCTGAGTCAGGGGCCACCACACATTCTCTTGGGGGTTGAACACATGGAGGTACGTGTGAGAGTACAAATGCTCAGGCCTAGATGCAGGAGCCTCCTCATCATGAGAGCTCCTTGTGATCCCCGAGCGGCTCATCTGGTAAAGGCTGGGCAGCACAAGGACCCCCAGCACTGTCTGGCCCTGACAGGTACGCAGGCTCAGGATGCGCTCCCTGTCAGCCCCACTCAGCTGCCTGTAGAGATGTGGATCACCTAGCACATGCAGCAAGTTGTTACTGATCAAGGCGTAGGTCTCCCGGGCCAAATCAAGCTCCCCATGTTGCTGGGCAAAGGCCAGAACCTCCAGGCAGCTGCCTAGATCTAGCCTTTGGGGCCACAACCCCATTGTTGTGGTAGGCTGCAAGGCCAGTGAGCAGGACTTCTGAGGCCCCTCCACCACCCCCCAACTCCCAGGTTTCTGCAAAAAAATCACGATCTTTTGGGCTTCTTTCTGCTGCTCTGCCCTGCTGCCTGCAGGGTTGGCCTCCTCTCCTGGCACTTGCTGGGGCTGCTGAGGCACTTCCTGGGTAACTGTCTGCTCAGAGCTCTGAGCTTCTTCATAAACACTGTGTTGCCCTTGCCGTTGTGGAGGCTGAGGGATGGGCTGAGAATCCTTCCTCACAGCAGTAGATGATACAGGGCCAGGCTGTGCCTGTACCGAAAGCTGTGAGGCAGCCCTAGGCTTTGCAGTCAGAGGCAGTAAGTCTAGACTTTTCTCCTTGGATTCATCTCTTGGGTCTAGGGGTGAGCCAGAAGTAAAAGATTCTTTGGTCTCCATGCTCATTGGCTGTAGTTGACATGCAGCCTCAACAAGGTCTCCTGAACTTGATGATGTAACCAAGTGCTTGTCCTGGAGGCTACAGATGGCCTCTTCAGAGTGGAAGCCTGGCTGTCTATCTTCAGGGTGTGTGGATGTGCCCAGCCCTGCAGGACTTGCAGGAACTTCCTTTGGGGCACTCCCTTGGGGCCTCTCTTCTTTAGGGAAGGGGTGGCTTCTAAGAACCATGGTAATAAGGTTTCCCCAGTTAGTTGAGATCTGCCCTTCTTGGGAGCTCTTGGAGAGGCCTACGTTGGACTCCCTAGACACAGGCCTTGACCCACTAGCTACTGCAGAGGCATGGGATTCCACTGGGGTAGAGGCTTGGGTTGGGGATGAGGTTGGTGTTGAGACTGTGGTTAAGACTGTAATTGGGACTGAGGCTGGGGATAGAGTTGGTGTTGAGATTGGGGTTAAGACTGTAATTGAGACTGAGGCTGGGGTTGGTTTTGAGATTGGGGTTAAGACTACAACTGGGTCTGGTTCTGGGTCTAGGGTTGGTTTTGAGGTTGAGGTTGAGACTGGGACTACAGCTGGAGTTTTTTTTGAGATTGGGGTTAGGGATGTAAATAGTTCTGGATCTGAGCCTAAGATCGGTTCTGAGATTGGGGTTAGGGCTTTAACTGGGGTCGTAGCCTGGGCTGGGGTTAAAGATGTACCTGAGCATGAGATTAGGGATGATATTGGCGATGGGGCTAGGATTGCTGCTGAAGCTGAAGTTGAAATTCCTGGGGCTAAAATTGGTGTTGGAAATGGGGCTGGTGCTACTCTTAGATTTGCACCATCAGGAGGACCCTGATACAAAGGAGGACCCAGGGGCAGAGAGTTTAAAGGAGCAGGGGTTGGGACTGCATGTAGGAAGACAGGGTGGTGATGCGCTGCAGCCATAGAGGATGGAAACTGCTCAGTGTCCTGCATCAGAGGAGAGGCTGGAGGGTTGCAGGAGGGAGTGCAGCTGAGACCACCAATGGAAGACTTCCTTGTCTCCAGGGAAAGCACAAGTCTCTGGTCAGCTGATGGACTGCCAGACATCTGTTCACTACTCTGGCTTTGAGGGGCTCCTCTCCCTTCTCCAGTGAGGTGGCCCTCTAGCTTTTCTGTCTTGCTCTGGTCCATGACGTGGTCGACCTCACTGGCCTCCAGGGGTGACTCCTCTAGCAGTGCACCTCGAGAGCACCTGAAGTTGCTGGTTAACATGGCTGCCCCACTCTCCCAGTGCCAGGCTTCCTCACAAGCCAAGACTTCCCGATTCTCCTTAGGGGTGGGGGACCCAGTCTCTCTGCTCTGGCCATCCTTAGCCCCAGGACCTGCAGTGCTAGCTGAAGTGAGCTGGAGGCCGCTCCTCCCATGCACATCCTGGAAGTCATCTGCCTGGGGACAAGTGTGAGCAAAGCTGGCTGGGCTGATCTCCTGAGGTCCCCTGAGCCCCCTGCTCAGGTGGAGCAATGAGGTACCTGCTAGGGAACTGCAGGTGAGGGTGTCCTGAGTAGCTGCACATGCCGTATCCACAGTGTCCCACACACTCACTGCAGAGCCCAGGCGGAGGGGGTCTGGCTTTCGGGGACGGCAAGGTCTGTCTCCTGAGCTGGTACCTGGCCGCCGTCTCAAGCTGCCCAGGCCTCTCCCTAGTGAACCAGAAGGCCTGACACTCAGGTGCCAGGGGCTCTTGTCCTGTTGCTTGGTATGGACCAGGACCTGGCAAGTTGTCCCCTTATTCTGTGTGCCACTTGCCTCCACCTGCGTCTCTGCTTTGCTGTCAGGACCCGGAGAGGTGAAGTGGATCAGGAGTGGGGCAGGAGTATCTCTTGCTTTGCTGTAGCCCATGAGGGCAGTTTCTTGCCTAGGAGGCTCCCTTCCTTTATTTCCCAGGGCTCCTGGGGTTGCCCCTCTGCTGGCCACCTCTCCGGGTGTTTTGAGTGGAAGCCTGGCAGTGGAGGCCATACTTCCACCCCTTGAGGGCTCCGGGTCCTGGGCCCTGGCTGTAGCAGGTTTCCCCTGAAGGTGTCCAGGAGCCTCTGATTTCCACCTTCCTGAGCTCTGTCCCTTACTGGCATCACTGACCTTCGACTTTGGGTGCAGGGCCATCCTGGGTCCTCCTGCTTGAGTAGGTTGCATCCCTGGAGATGTGGACGTTGATCCTGTCACCTCCTGGTCCTGCCTGGAACCAAACCACTGAAAAGCTAATGCGGTAGTAGCCACCACAGCCAATGCCAACAATGCAAGTACAGCCCCATCCCAATCATCATCTCCATCCCCATCCCAGCCCCAGAGGGGCCCACTAGCCTCTACAGCACCCTGGACCATGGTGCTGATTGTAGACCTGCTGTGAGGAACCTGCTCTGGCTGGCAACTATGCATGCCCCACACCCAGCCTGGACTGCAGGTTATGCAGATTGCATTGCAAGAGGCTGGCCTAGGACCGCCCTGTTAAGGTAGACTGATTCTCCAGGTCCTTGCACGGTCTCTATTTGCATTGCACCCAGGCTTTCAGGTTTATCAGTAAACCCAGTTGGAGATATTAGGAGACCCTGTTATCTACAATAACCTTCCCAAGTTGTCCCCCAGCTCCTGCCCCTTTCTTTTTTGCCCAGGGTCCCAGGGTCAAATGCTAGTGTTCCTGGACACTGTGCCAGGATCCCAGCCCACCATCTGCCTAAAAGATCCTCACACCCCCAAATTCACTTTGCACCCTAGAGCCCCCCCGAAGCCTGGGTTCAGGTACAAGGGCTCTGGCAAGGAAGGGTTACCCACAGGAGATGTTATCTCAAGTCTTAGCAACATGATGCAGCCCTGATGAAATTACCAGAAACCTGAGAGGCCAATTCCACCATAGTCATCAGGGAAGGGTGGGAGGGACAGACTCCATGGTGGTCTCTCAGACTAAAAATGGAGACCTTGGAGCAAGGGTCATGGCAGTTATGAATGGAGGTTTGCTCTGAATATTAAGTGACTGAGACTCTCTCTGTTATCCCTTTTCCAGCAGCTGCTGGACTTTCTCTAGGACACTGGAGATAAAATAGTTTTCAAGTCAAGAAGGAAAAATAAAAGAGAGAAAAAAATGACAAAAATCCAAATCTTTTATCTTCCTCTTTGTGGCTAGTCTTATTCCAACTCTAACTTACTTAAATCTAGAGCCTCCTGGCCTCCCTTTACTGCCCTGTACTGTTCAACTGAACCTTAAGAGCCTGGCCTGCTTCTCCTCCAGTCACCTCATCAGCCTGCACCTGAATCCTTCAGAAGCCCTCTCTGGCCCAAGTGCTATACTAGTTCAACTCCTAAATATCCTCCTCTGAGTCTTCACCTTCTCCTCTCTGAATGGAACCTTGCACCATTCTGCCTCTCTGCCCAGTTTAGGCCTCACAAGCTGGCATGTGGATACTCCCACCAGATATAAGTACTTGGGTTTTTAGGGAGGTGCTTCTCTATTTGCTCATCCCTGAAGCTCATATCAGGAGTGAGTTTTGAGATAGGTATCATACGGGGCCCAGACACACAAAAAAGACCCTGGACTCCCCAGGATAAAGATATTCCCCCTCAAAAGAAATAAGTGGACTTTTTCTTCCTCTGAGACACAAGGAACCCAAAGACTCCTTGGCTCAGAAATCAAGGCGATGCCAAGGGTGTCCCTGGCACCTCGCCTGGATTCTGCTGAGCTTAAGTGTCTCATCTGGCCTGGTCCTCTCCCAACTTCTCATAGTACTATTAAGTGACAGTAAGAGGGTGGAGTGAGCCCCACGCCTTAAGGTGTACTTAAACTAGCAGAGGGCTTTCTTGCCTTTATTCTCCATCTCAGTCTCAGGTTCTTTCTGCTTCTCAGTTAAGAGAAGGAATGTGTTGGCCCTGCCACTGTACCTCCTTATGGATTATTCAGTCACCCAGCCCCGTCAGCCAGCTCTACAAAGCTTCTGAAGACCCAATGCAGTCAGCCCCTAGGCTGCTATCAAAGAAGTAAGGAAGGTCACACATGGGAGCATGAATGTAATAACACATGCAGTACCACAGGCAATGAGGGTCATGAAAGGGGCCTCATTAGATGGGCAAGGCCTGCTTAGTCCTGTCAGAAAGGAAGTACCTGCCTTTGCCAGGGTCAGATGGAGAACAAAACTTTGCTGTGCATGGAGATGCTCTGTGAGGAGAACGGCTGAAGACAAGCTACCTTCCCAAAGGATAGCCACTTGCTCTCATCACTTCCAAGACAGAGTTAAAGAGTGGCACTGCTCAAAAGGTTACAGAGTTTTAAAGCATCTACACAGACTGTGAGTCACACAGTTGGTCTATGTGGATTATGATAGCACAAATGTCATCAAGGGAAACAACAAAAATTGAGATAAGAGGGCCCAGGAAGATCTAATTGATGTTAGCAACCTCCTGAGAGCCCTCCTTTCCAATAGTCACTGAAGAGTCCCCTATCTCTATCACCATAGGAACAGAGAGGGATATCTGCTGGCTCATCTACATGCAATCTCTCCAGAGATAGCAAAACACACAGGAATGGCATCATCACTGCCTATAATGGAAAGAGAAGCCCGTGTCAGCTGAATCACTGCAGCACTCACCAGTAGAATCTGCCACAGCCTGATCTCCAGGGCTCAGATGGCCCCAGCTACTATTGTGTGCTTATAATGGTTAGCGTGTGACAAGATCAAGACATAATCAGATGGAGAACTAAATACAAAGAGACCTCCAAGATATAAAATATACAGAGCGCCAAATCCCATCATATGTAGTTTCTCTATTACTGAATTTTTTTAGATTAAAAAATGTGTAATAGGCTGGGCGTGGTGGCACACGCCTTTAATCCCAGCACTTGGAAGGCAGAGGCAAGTGGATCTCTGTGAGTTCAAGGCCAAGGCTAGAAAAAAAAAGTATAATCAAAATGATAGTATAAAATGTCATGTTGTTATATTTATATGATCAACTCTAGAATAATTTTTTGGTCTTTTTGAGACAGGGTCTCCCTGTAGCTCCAGCTGTCCTGGAACTCACTATGTAGAGCAGGCTGGCCTTGAACTCACAGAGATCCACCTGCCTCTGCTGGGATTAAAGGCGTGTACCACCATGCCCGGCTTTAGAATAATTTTTTAAAGATTTATTTTTGAGACAGGGTCTCCCTGTAGCCCTAGCTGACCTGGATTCACTATGGAGACCAGGCTGGCCTCAAACTCACAGAGATCTGCCTGCCTCTGCCTCCTGAGTGCTGGGATTAAAGGTGTGTGCCACCATGCCCGGCCCTAAAGATTTATTTTTATTTTGTGTGTGTGTGAGTGTTTTGTCTGTATGTATGAAAGTTACCACGTGTGTGCAGTGCCTATGGAGGACAGAAGAGGGCGTCAGATCCCCCAGAACTGGAATTACAGACAGTTGTGAGCTGCCATTTGGATGGTACAATCTAATGGGCCCTGAGTCCTCTGCAAGAGCAGCAAGTGCTCTTAATTGTTGAACCATCTCTCTAGCCCTGAGCTCTAGAATTAATTTTAAGTCTTGGAAAATATTATCCTCAGATCTAATAATTATACCCATCAGGAACTATCTTGTTTTAGTTTCTTTTCCTGTTGCTATTATAAAGTGCTTGCTGTGAAAGCATGTGGACCTGTGCTTGAATCCATAGAACCCACATGAAAGCCAGGCATGATGATACCCATCTATAACCCCAACACTAGGGACAGAGATAGGTGAATCCTGATGGTTTGATAACTAGCCAGTTTAGCCCAAGCAGCAAGCTCCAAGTTCACTGAGAAAGACCCTGTCTCAAAAAATATAGTAGAAAAGCAATTAAGGAAAATATCTTAATGTCAGCCTCTGGCCTACATACACACTGGAACATGTGAACTTATCCACATACAACACACACAGACACAGACAGACAGACAGACAGACAGACACACACACACACACACACACAAAGTCCTAGAATTCAATGCCAACAAAACACAACATACCAAAACCTATGAGATATGATGAAAGCAATCCTAAAAAAGGAAGTTCATAGCTCTATGTCTATATTTAAAATCTGTTATCTGCCTTCTGTAGTGTCTGGAGTGGAATCGTGAAAGTCAAAGGGGGGGGCTACCTAGGAGAAGGGGGAGTGGGAGGGGGAGGAGGAGGAGGAGAAGGGGAGGGGGAGGGGGATGGGGAAGAGGAGGAGGAGAAAAAGAGGAAGAAGAGGTAGAGGAAGCCAACCCTAAAAAGCAGTAGATGGAAAGATATGATCAAGATAGATCAGGAGAAATCATATTCCTATATACCAATGACAAACATGATGAGAAAAAAATTCAGGAAAACACCAATCCCATTCACAATTACCTACAAAATAAAACTGAAACCTTGAACAAGCCAAAGAAGTGAAAGAGCCCTACAATTAAAACTTTAAAACATAGCCAGGTGTGGTGGTGCATGCCTTTAATTCTAGCATTTGGAAGGAAGAGACAGGCAGATCTCTGTGAGTTCAAAGCCAGCCTGGTCTACATAGTAAGTTCCAGGCCAACTGGGGCTACAAAAAAGAGCTTAAAACCCTGAAAAAGAAAATTGAAGACACTAAGAAATGAATAGCAAAACTGACTCCATTTTGTTCTGACTTTTGCTTTACCCTGTGTTTCTGCCCAACCACTCCTCCCCCATGCTTGCCAACTGCAGCCTGCCAGCCAGAACGTCCCATGAAGGCTTCACCTGTAGTTTCAGGGGGTACATTGTTTCTGCAATGCTGGGAAACTTACAAGTAGCCAGGTAGTACGTCCAGGTAACACATCCTCTTATCCATCTATGCTTGCATCTCTGTGGAGCCCATTGTTTCTGAAATACTGAGAAATTGTTTTTCCTAACTGAAACTTTTTGTTAACTGAAAACCTCTTTGCTAACTGACCTGCCCCTGGACTGGTGTAACTATGGTAATCTAATGTAACTATAGTCATTAGCTCTGCCCCTAGAAAGATGTGATTATGGTTTAGGCTTTATAAACCCCACTCTGCCTCCCCTCAGAGTTGAGAGTGTTTTGGGGCATTGGCCAGCTCTCTGACCACCAGCTATTAATAAAGGACTCCTAATTCAACCATCACTATGTGGCATTCCCCTGTGCCTCTCGTGCTGTTACAGGAAAGACTTCCCATGCTAATGGATTAAAATAATTAATATTGATAAAATGGCTGTACTACTAAAAATAAGCAACAGACTCAGTGAAATCCCTATCAAAATTCCAATGCCATTCTTCACAAAAATAGAAAAAACTATCTCAAGGCTGTAGAGATGACTCAGTAGTTAAGAGTACTGACTACTCTTGCAGAGCAAAAGGGTTCCTGGTACTCTCATGG